TAAATACGGTTAAAATTAAATTAAATTAAAAATACGTAAAACACACAGTTTTTAATATAATTAGACACTTAAAAATAAAAAATGACTAACAGTTCATTTTTTTTGTCCCGCCAGAGAAATTTCCCTATAACATACAATATCTTGAGAAATAAAGATGATAACAAATTTTTTAAAATACATTTTGCTGCATTTTGTTATTTTTTGCAAACACCCCTAACATCATTATCTTAAAATTTCGTCATGTTTAAGTTAATGTACAATGAGAGAAAGTAAAGACCTAATGAATCGTTTGTTTCACACCATTAAGTTAGTAGTTTTAATTTTAAATTTAAATTTTGTGAGAGAACCCATTAACGGTAACATTTTTTATTCAAAATTTTTGTGTAAAAAAAGTATTGTGACAAAATTAGAATTATATATTTAAATACGTAAACTAAACAGGTTCTTATCTTGTAGCATTTAAAAAATGGCTTAAAAATTTTCCTCTAGACTTCCATTTCCTAAAAGTAAAAATGGGGTCATGTTGTAATTTATAATATATCATGTTTAATGTTTATACTTTAGCAAACACGCTGTTGTGGCTTAATTCATGCCGTACAATTCCTTAAAAAGAAAGGAAAAAATCTATATCATACACGCTTCTTATTTTTAGAACACGATAAACGTTGAAGACATCAATGAATAAAAAAGATATTCGAACTTATTATCAAAAAAAAAAAAAAAAAAAAAACTATTGCAGGTAAAAGTTAAACTGAACTAGTGGTGTACATATGTTCCGAGCCGAATCTCTTTTATCTTTTAAGTTTGATATTTTTATATTTTTTTTATTATTGATATGGACATGACTGAACTAAGTCAAGCGTTTTTTTTTTTTTTTTTTTTTTTTTTTTTTTTTTTTTTTTTTTTTCAGTTCTAAACTAAACTAGCAATTATAGCTTTCTTCTTCTTCTTCCTCTTTTTTTCTAAGGAAAATAAATTAAGCTTTTGCCTTTTCTTTTTCTTCCTTTATTTTGATAAATATCTTGTTAAAAAAAGAAAGAAATCCATATCCCTAAGTAAAGTAGTTTGTTATGAAAGCAATAGCTTCACTATGAATTTTCTTATGAAACTATTATTGTATTGTGCCTACGGCAGCACTTTATTCTTTAGATTTTTTTTTAATGAAAGAGAATCTTTTATATTAAGAATTTTAATGAAGAGAAAATTAGAGAAAACAATATATTGATGAGAAAAATTTAGACATTACAATTGTTTACTAAAAAAAAAAAGGAAGGAAGCAAGCTAGAAGTTGAAGTAACAAAATATGACAAAAACAATATTTTAGTGGGGAAATTTGTCAAAAAATCTTTTTGAGAACCATATTTGACAATATATTATTTTAAAGGATGGAGTGAAAATATTTCAGTTGAGACATATTTGGAAACAAATATTATAATAAACAAATTAGAAACAACATTTTCAATATAAAAAAGCATATCAAATACAAGATTTCTTTTAAAAAAAAAAAACACTAAAAGCTAAGCATAAGGTGAAGTGGAAAAACCAATTAATACCCATTCCCCCTTCTTATAGATAAAAAAAAAAAAAAAAAGCGTGATATGTGAGAAAATAAATGAGCCATGTGGATTAAATTTGTACCGATAGATTTGAACTAAAAGTGAAAAGAGAATAAACACCGGCGGAGGCAGGTGAGGCAATTTTTAGTTTTTTAGATTTCATTCCATAAATTCTCAATTTTTTTTTTTTATGTATATCCCCTTTTTATTGATAAAAAATTCAAAATGTCTCCATTAAATCCAATCTAAATATTTTTTTAAATTAGTTGGGTTTTTAATTGTTTTTTGGTTCTTTCTTATTAAATTCTATACTTCTTAATATACCTGATTGAATTATTTTTCTCTAATTTACTTCAGTTAAAACTTTTTTTTTTTTAATTTGTCCCTTCTAAAATATTATTTCATGTGATCTTTATTATATCAAAAGTAAGCATCACGCACAAAAATTTAAATGAACTTTCTCAAATATGTCCCTAAGCTATTTTTTTAAAGTAATACTCTCAATTATTATTTTCTCTTAAACACCGTTTCTCTATCAAGTGCGTAAAGCATGTTAATTATGTTATGCATAGTTAAGCGTAAAAGTATGTGCAACCATTATAGTGCTAAGATTTTATAAGGTATAACATGCACGTGTTTAATATACGCTCTAACTAGTTAATAGTATTAGTAGTTGATATTATTAACATTAATAAATTCTTCACATTTTTAATCTATGCCCCTCTTGACATAACTCATAGATTTAATGATACCATGATATTAGTTATCCTCCTTCATAAAGAACAAAAATTTCATGAAATTCAAGGTGCAATAACATTTCAAATTCGCGTTGATATACTCATAGATGTACAATTCGAGAACAATAAATATAATTTATTAACAATAATGGAATGGGCCATTATAAAAAAAAATAAAAAGAAGAAAAATAATGGGCCATTAGAAAAAATAAAATTTTTTGACTTATAGGTTGGCGCGTCATTCAAAAACTGTGAGTGGGCCACACTCGAGCCTGCCACAGTGTCATAGCTCATAATACTGCCAACCATTACAATGCAAGACATTTGTAATTTTCCTCTTCGTCTCATTTTAGTTGAAGAGAGAGAAAATAAGAATTATAGGTCTGTTTAGTTCGTTGATTTAAATTTTTAATTTGAGTTAAAATATAATTTTATGTGAGAGTTTTTTATTATAATAAAAAAATTAGATGTGATTATTTGTGAGAACTTTTTACTGTAGCAAAACTCAAATTGTAAACTCGAATCAGCGAAATGAACGGGACCTATATATTAACAATTGAGGATCAAATTTGAACAAAATAACGTGTTATTATTTGGAATGTGCCTAGGAAATGAGGTGGTCCAGTGTGGAATACACCTGTTTCTATTGCGCGTGGGTACAGTTATAGTCCTTCAAAATTTTAAAAATTGGAATTTCCCTCACGTGATGTTCAAGGGAGGGAATATCCCAAATAAATAAATAAAGAAATAAATAATTCTCAAATGTAGGCGATGAAAACGAGTATTTTTTTTTTTCTTCCTGAATACTCTAAATAAAATTATTGTTCGTATATTATCATTATGGAATGTCAATATTTCCGCCTGCTTGTTACGTTGCATTGCTCAATTATTATCATGCAAATTGTCTCCAATATCGGTCATGCTTTTTTTTTTTTTTTTTGGAAGGGAACAATATTATTCATGTTTAGTATTCTTTTTCTTTTTTTCTTTTTCAATAATTAGTCATGTTAGAAAGAATAATAATTGTCATTATAAGCTGCGTGTGTGTTTATATATGAACGAATTTTTAATAGTTACGTTTTTATTGACGGTCACCTTTAAATATAAAAATTTAATAATTTAATGTGATAAAAATTTAATTTTATTAATTGTCATATATATATATATATGTATAAATGGTAGATACTCTTATATCATGTATTCAAACCGAGTATGATAAGCCATAAGAAAAAAAAAAAAAATATATATATATATATATATAACAGATTAGAAAAAGAAAGTAGGGGTTGCCAAACATGTTATTGGAAGCAAAGTATTTCACTAAGACAAGAAAGACAAATAAAAAAAAGGCAAAAGTTTACGTATGTCAGGTCAAGTTGGATAACCAACACTCTTTTGTAACAGAGACGAAGGTGTTAAAAGATAAAATATTTGAGTCTCATGTCGTTTAAATATAAATATAATTACAACTATATAAGCATATTGAATTATCTTATTTAAATAAATTAATATTTTAAGATAAAAATTAATATATTATAAAGTGCTATTTTTCTTTCTCACTTATCTTTCTGTCCTCAAATTCTAATGGAAAGGCTTTCTTGGTCGAGGCCATAAGAGAGGACAAAACCCGATTCACAAGTTTAGTTAAATAATCTCTTTAGGAATTGGATATTACTTTTCACCTGACATCTCAAGGTTTTTCTATATTCTTTTCATAACCCTTGTTAATTATGAAACGTAAAAGAGGAATAGAAGAGAAGAATTATGAGCCCTTAATACCTAAAAATTGAATAAAGTTTTACATTCTCTAACTAAATTGAAAGATTCTTTAAATCAACTGTCCTCTAAACAATGGCATAATTTACCTCACAATATTTAGGAATGTAAACAATTGTAAGAGTTTAAATCACTCGGAAGGCACAAAAAAATACCAACAAAAGCGATAAGAACATTGAGTAAGGTATTAAATTAGGCACTCTACTTGTTAGACACAATTTTAAACTGTCGAATAATATAAGAATCATATTATGTTAAGCATGATATGATAATTCAATATAATTCAATGGTGTTAATTTTATTTTTAGTTCTCAAACTACAATCAAATTCCATCTTGATCCTTGATTTTTAAAATTCCTCAAAGCAAATTCCCTAATTACCAAGTTGACCTAAATTATTCTTTCCATCTATCCACGTAATTAAAATCTCGACGAAAAAGGTAAAATTGCAAAATTAATAATACAATCGCACATGGTCCTCACATGCCTTTTTTCATTGAGATTTAACAGATGGATCAACAAAAGAATTAATTTGGAATAATTTTTATTGATTAGAGATTAAAACTGTGATATTTTAAAAGTTAGGAACTAAAATGTAAATTATTTTGTACCTTGATTGGCTAAAAATAAAATTAACTAAACTTAATAAAAATCTGACCGTTCAAATTATGCTCTACCGGTAAGATATTCACCCTACTGCATAATTCTCCCTATTTACCCCTGCGAAAAGGGAAAGAGAAAAAGAAAGAGAAGGAACATGGGACTATATAAGAAAGATACACAAAAATCTTGGGCCAAATGAAAGTTACACAAAAATACAGTGGCAAGAAACGAAAATTGTTCGAAAATACAAGGACGCCAATGTTAAATACGTTGAATTTTATTTATTTATTTATTTTTTCATGTATTGCGTTTGAATGAGGCAGCGGCAACTCAAGAGAAGACAATGACAGAGGAGTTTTGGCGACACAAACACAGCTCATACTCTTCTTCATCACCAACATTTCTCTTCTCTTTGTTTTTCTAATAAATTTTCAAATCATTTTTCTTCCATTAAATTCTTCTCCGTCTCTCTTTTATTCTCGGATTTCAGTTTTTTTTTTAATATTTTTTTTTATTTTTTATTTGGGGCAAAAATTGAAGTTTGAATTTATTGGAGCGGCCATGGCTTGGATCGAGTAGAAAATTAGGGCTTTCTGGTTCAGCTTCATCACTTCAATTCTTGCTTCCCAGCCAGATTAATCCGGTAATTGATAGTTTTTTCTTTACTCAATTAATGTTTATGTTGTGATTACTAAGAATGGATTTGATAGTATTTTGAATTGTTATCATGTTAGAGATGGGAATTTCGGAATGGGTTTTAGTTGGTATGATTTTTTTTTTGGTTTAATTTTGCGATTGGGTTTTGCTTAATCTGATTTTGAATTTTGTTTTTGAAAAGATAATGTTGTCGAAAGTCGAAGCTGGGAAGAAAATTGGTGACGATTCAGGAAATGGGAAATTGTTGAATGAGATTGAAGCTATTAGTAAGGCCTTATACCTGGACAAAAACCCTTCTAGGAGTTTGATTCCTCGTCCGGACAACAAATTGAAGTCCGGTTCGAATCTTAAGCATGGAATCGAAGAGCCGTCGAAGAAGGAGAAGAAGTCTATTTGGAATTGGAAACCCTTGAAGGCGTTTTCGCACATCCGAAATCGCAGATTCAACTGTTGTTTCTCTCTCCAAGTGCATTCTGTCGAGGCGTTGCCGTCGAGCTTCGAGAATTTTAGTCTATGCGTGCATTGGAAGAGGAGGGACGGGGATTTGGTCACTCGGCCGGTGAAGGTTCACCAGGGGACGGCGGAGTTTGAGGAGAGATTGAGCATTACGTGCTCAGTCTATGGTAGTAGGAATGGGCCCCACCATTCGGCAAAGTATGAGGCAAAGCATTTCTTGCTATACGCTTCTGTGTACAGTGCACCAGAGCTTGATTTGGGCAAGCATCGGGTTGATCTCACAAAGTTGCTCCCTTTGACATTAGAGGAATTGGAGGAGGAGAGGAGTTCGGGGAAATGGACGACTAGTTTTAAGTTAACCGGAAAGGCGAAAGGCGCTGTGATGAATGTTAGTTTTGGGTACACGGTTGCTGGGGATAGTTCAGGTGGACATGGAAAGTACAGTGTTCCTGAGATGTTGCGCTCGAAACAGAATAATCTGAGCTTGGTGAAATCTGGGACGAAATTTGGTCAAGGTGATCGAAGGGGTGCTATGCGGCGTGCTGATAGTCTTCCTAGTATATCAAAGACGCAGTTTCATGCCGTGGCTCAATCTGTGGAGGATGTAAAGGATCTTCATGAAGTTTTGCCTGTGTCTAGGTCGGAACTTGCCAGTTCAGTGGATGTGCTGTACAGAAAACTTGAAGAGAACCTAGATAAGCCAGTCAATCATAGTGCTGAGTTTGATGGGTTCACTGAGCATGTTGAGCCTGTAAAACTGCACGCCTATCCGGTGGCTGATTCCGATGGAGAAAATGTAGACCATGGCTGTGAAGACAACGAGTTTTCTGTGACTGAACAGGGTGTAGAATTATCGTCAACAGAACTGGTGAAGTCGGAGGAAGCTATTATAGAGACTGCTGATGAATATTCGGTTGTCAGTCATGACGGTGTTGAAATTCACACTGATGTTCAGGTACATATTAAAGAGGAAACTAAGTTTTGTTCTCACGACGAGTTAGACAGCAGTCATAAAGACAAGCTTGTGGTACATGACTGCATTTCAGTAGAGGATAATCTATGCACAAAAGAATCAATCCTGAAAGAGTTGGAGTCAGCTTTGAACAGCGTCGCAGATTTGGAGGCAGCGGCATTAGAATCTCCTGAAGAGAATGAGAACTACGAAGAAGCTAAATTGGACTACGAAAGTAGTACAATATGGAAGTCACATCGCTTGGATGATTTAACAGAATCAGTTGCAAATGAGTTCTTTGACATGCTTGGGCTAGAGCATAGTCCATTTGGCTTGAGTTCGGAGAGCGAGCCCGAGTCCCCAAGAGAGCGTCTCTTAAGAGAATTTGAAAAGGAGGCCCTTGCTGGGGGTGGGTCTTTATTTGGTTTTGACCTAGACAATGAGGACCAAGCAGAGTCCAGCTACAGTGATACGATTGGGATGGATTGGGGAAACTCCACTGAGGATCTTGAATTTTCATCGATCATTCAAGCTGCTGAAGAAGAGCATCTGATCGCAACTCAGGCAGAAAGGGGTAAAACAAAGGCAAAGATGTTGGAAGACTTGGAGACGGAAGCGCTGATGCATGAGTGGGGCTTAAATGAGAGAGCTTTTCAGCATTCTCCCCCAAAAAGCTCTGCTGGTTTCGGGAGTCCAATTGATTTGCCTCCAGAACAGCCACTTGAATTGCCTCCTCTTGGAGAGGGATTAGGTCCATTTCTTCAGACAAAGGACGGAGGGTTTCTTCGGTCTATGAATCCTGGCCTTTTCAAGAATGCTAAAAATGGTGGGAACTTGGTCATGCAGGTTTCTAGCCCTGTTGTAGTTCCAGCAGAAATGGGTTCTGGTATAATGGACATATTGCAGGGTTTGGCATCTGTTGGAATCGAAAAGCTTTCCATGCAGGCAAATAAGTTGATGCCTTTGGAAGATATCACTGGTAAAACAATGCAACAAATAGCATGGGAAGCTGCGCCAGCATTAGAGGGACCCCAGAGGTTGAATCTTGTTTTCTCATTACTCTTTGAGTTAGCAGCAAACTTTCCTTTTGCATAATGTTGTTTTGTAAACATATTGTTATTAATGCTATTTTCCTTATTGGTGCAGTGAAAATTTCTTGCAGCATGAATCAGTGGTTGGGCAGGATAAGTTGGGAGGCCAAACGAGTGTTAAGGAGAGATCATCTGGGCGAAAGTCTAGTAAGACTACTTCACGCTCAGTAGGCAGTGAGATGGATTCCGAATACGTGTCTCTTGAAGATCTTGCTCCTTTGGCCATGGATAAGATTGAAGCACTTTCAATTGAGGGGTTGAGAATACAGTCCGGGATGTCTGATGAGGAAGCACCTTCAAATATCAGCGCTAAGTCTATTGGGGAGATTTCAGCTCTCCAGGGTAAGGGGGTTGACCTCAGTGGGTCCCTTGGTATGGAAGGATCTGGTAGTTTGCAATTGTTGGACATAAAAGAAAGCAGCGAAGATGTCGATGGGTTAATGGGCTTATCACTTACTCTTGACGAATGGATGAGACTGGATTCGGGTGAGATTGATGACGATGATCAGATCAGCGAGCGTACTTCCAAAATCCTTGCAGCTCATCATGCTCACTCCTTGGACTTCATTCGTGGAGGAACAAAAGGAGATAGAAGAAAAGGCAAAGGATCTGGAAGAAAGTGTGGTCTGTTAGGGAACAACTTCACTGTAGCATTAATGGTGCAACTTCGGGACCCGATGAGGAACTATGAGCCTGTCGGAGCGCCAATGCTTTCTCTCATTCAAGTAGAGAGAGTGTTCATCCCCCCAAAGCCTAAAATATACAGCACGGTTTCTGAACTAAGGAAATATAGTGAGGATGATGATGATGAGTCCGAGCCAGTAGCAAAGGAGGACATAAAAGAGGAGAAGAAAGAAGAGAGAGCACCAGAAGAGCAAGGCATTCCTCAGTATAGAATCACAGAAGTCCATGTTGCAGGCCTGAAAACGGAGCCTGGCAAAAAGAAGCTATGGGGTACGCCAACGCAGCAACAGTCCGGATCTCGTTGGCTGGTTGCTAATGGAATGGGGAAAGCCAATAAGAATCCATTTTTGAAGTCGAAGACCGTCTCTAAATCTAGCGCACTATCAACAGCAACAGCAACTACAAAAGTGCAACCTGGTGAAACCTTGTGGAGCATCTCGTCTCGTGTTCATGGTACAGGAGCAAAATGGAAGGAATTGGCGGCATTAAATCCGCATATCCGGAACCCGAACGTCATACTCCCTAATGAAACTATAAGGTTGCGCTGATGGATGAAATATGAACCTCACTGTATTTTTTAACCGATTGGTTCACTCTTTATCCTCAGACAAGGTGGCAAATGGAAGAAACTATTGTAAACAGAATAATCGATGAATTGTATTTGTTGGGTTCGTACTCTCATTTCATAGATGATCAAAGAATAGGCAGCTGATGAGTGAGGACAAAGTGATTTTGTTGTATTTTCACTTCTTTTGTAAATCCACATGGTTTTGTAATGTAATCAAGTATGCGTGTATTTGTAACTTGAAAGTGGTGTCCTATTGAAGGAATTTGGTTTTCATTTCACGATCATAAAATATAATGGGTTAACTTCTTGCAGGCAAAGGAATGACATTAATGATCATGGGCCTGATAAGAATTACGCATCAAGATTGATTTTCTCTTCTTTATGTGTGTGTGTGTGTGTGTGTGTGTATATATATGTAGACACACGCTTATGTATACGTGTATTTGGTTTTCAAGACGTATATTAATAAGACTTGAGACCGGTCGTTTGACAAGTTCGAACTCATTTGGCAAGACTGATGAAAGATTAGCCGTCCGTCACCGAATTGAAAACGCTATCTTCCCCTTTCCTTTCCTCGTGACTTTGTTGGTTCAAATGAGCAAGATTTTGCTCCTCAATTGGTTATGTTAAGTGGGGTTTAGTGTAGTAGTTTCCTGCTAACTTTAAAAATTTTTAAGAAGGAAGCAAACCTCAATAATTGCACGTGGTTCAAGTATTTTCGTGTCAAAAAAATTTATAATAAAAGGTTTAAACTCTCATTGCATTCATATTAGTAACACGACTATAATTTGAGATACGGGTGCCTCTTATTTTTTCAATTATCTCTTTTTTAATTTATAGATTGATTAGTTAGTGACTGAACTTAATTTACAAAATTACTTTATGAATTTAATAAAACATTGCAGACCAATCCCTAAATTATTTAAGAGTAATAGAATTTGAAAGAAATCCCTTATGTTCTGTTGTCATCTAAAATTTGAATCTCTGCCTTAATAGGATCACGTGATGTGTTCGGCCATGTTCTCGTTTAAATTCTTTGTCACCTATTCAGGAATACTTTGCAACACTTCACTAAATTCAAGAGTAATTTGTTAAAACTAAAAATATAGTGGATAACTTAGCAAATAGTAAAAGATTCAGGTCAACTTCGGTCGCCCAAGCATTTGGAACGATGGGTTTAAACTATAACACTAAACTTACTTCAGAAAAAAGAAAACCTTTTTTTTGTTAGAGGAAGTTGTTCAACGGTCTTTTGAATTGAAACACACACACACACACACACACATATATATATATATATATATATATATTTTTTTTTTTTAAATGTGGGGCCATTTAATGGCAACTTCAGTGTGGGCGGTGGATTGCTTCATTATTCGGGGGTGCGATGACATCCAAATAAGATAATTAGGCAATTAGCCTTCTAGAAGCTTTCAGGACAAAAAACTTTATTAAGAGATTTTTAGAAGACGAAGTAATTTCAACTTCATTGTATCATTATCATATATGGCATCAAATACTTATTTGCATTCAGTTTGTCTCCCTTTCCAAAAAAATAAAAATAAAAATTCTATACGACAGTTAATGAAGATAACAATTTGGCATTTGGCAGTCAAACTCTGCAGGTTTCTGATACCATTTTTATTAGGTAAAACTTAGTCTAATTATAGCTTAATTTCAGAATCAAATGACAAAGAATATGATTATAGTTCATCAGTATTCTTGGTCTGAAATAGAACTTCCTAAAAGACTTTTAAGATACATTGTAAAGTAACAAAGAAAATCAGTTTGTTTTTGCTTCACATTCGGTTTCTAGGGATCATGAGACTGAAGTTCTTGTCATTTCACGTTGTATCGACGGTTTCCTGTGACGGAGTTAGAAATTTTAGTCAGTGGAGGGTTAATAACTAAATAAAAAATTTAAATAAAATAAATATTTATTAATGCACTACAAATGAGATATTAACATTAATTTCAGTGGGAACTTATTAATACTAATATAGCAAAATATCTAATATTATATATGAAATTTAAAAGGAAAAAAATTTTGAGTGGGGGTTTAAGCTTTGGCTCCGTGCCTGCTCAGGTTTCCAATCATGATGAACTAAGGACTCGTTCATTTCACCGATTTGACTTTTCAGTTCTAAATTTTTACAGTTAAAAATTCACAAAAAATGTCACGTTTAACTTTGTGTTAAAAACTCTCAGAAAATATTATATTTTAGCTCGAATCCGCAAAGCAAACGAAGCCTAAATGCATGTCTTTTGCATGCACTTAGTTCTCCGGCAGCTCGGAGGGAATCCTCAATCTCCATTCCGTGATCAAATCTCGAGGACTCCGCGGAAGAATGTCTTGTGCTGTAGAGCTGTTTGTGTGATCAGTGTGTTCACCTTCGTCTACCCCGGCAGAAGAAAGCATCTGCACAATTTGTCAATACATGTTGAGGATATTATTAACTCATCTGAGAATTTTCCAATAAGCTTTTAGCAATCTATCTTATTGTTCCTCTATATTCTATTCTCCTTGTTACGGAACAAGCAAAACTTCACTGTTAACAAGAAGCGAAGAGCCTCAATTGAACGCCATGATTTGATTTTACAAATTCTGAAGCCTAAAACTTATTAAAAAAAAAAAACTAAAATTATGAATTAAAGTACAAAATAAACAACATATTAAATAGATTATTTTATTCTTTTTGTGTCGAATATAATCGTGACCTTTGTGGAGATGCTCTTACTAAAATTTATATAAATATAAATAGATATACTTCCATGAATGCTTTTTTTTTTTAAAATTAAAAATGAAGATGATCTTTTATTTAACTAATATAGACGTACAGTTCTAGATCTGAGAGAAATGCTAATTATATTGGCTTTCAAGAGAATATTTTATTTCTTAAAAAAAGGGTAATTATAGCAACCTGGGAGAACAATTGGTAGCCAAGTTGCTAGCGGGGTAAACCTTTATACTAAATCCACTATTAATTGTATATTATTATTATTATTATTATTATTATTTATGATGATGTATCAATGGTTAAATTGAAGTCAAATTAAACTTGGCTTTGATCGCTAAAGCACGCACATTATAGTGACTCATATCATAAAATGATCTCCTAGAAAGAGATGACGTTGGATTAAACCAATATAGCTAAATTACAACAAAAAATGGGCAATCACAGTTTATAAAAAGTCACATTTAGACCGGTCAGGTAATATATATTAATCGTGAACTAGGATCATTTGTTCCATTTTGATGTTCAAAATAGTATTTAACAAGTCATATTATGTTATTTCATTTAAAAAATTTGAAATACTTATTAGATCACTTTTTTATGTTTTAATGTTTGATTTAAATGAAGTACATGTCATAATATAATATGATTGGTTAAACAACATTTAGAACATAAAAAATTGAGCAAGTGATCTCAATCCATCAATCCCAACCCCTCATGCAGCTTAAAAGTAAGGTTAAAAAAATTCGACTCCGATTTTGACATTTTTCACACCAAATTCAATTCACCAAGGGCCAATATCTAAAAGCTCAAAACTCTAAGATCTATATTATTTTGTAACTAAAATTAGTAGAATTGCAGCGATGATAGTGGGGTTGATGATAGTGCTAATTACCTCAACAGTTGCCCACGCAGATCATGATAATCAATATAATTATGATCATAATTATGATGATCATTTTCTATCTTCTACTTTATTAATGGATAGATTTGGTCCCGGTCTCCCTACCCCAAAAATATTCAAAAAAAAAAAAAAAAAAAGGGACTTCATACTTGCATGCAGGGTTGCGGTTTTACGTGTTTAGCGTTGGTCAGATTCATTCCACTGATGACGAGTTGCTTGGTTGGTTGTTCTGAAGGTTGCGTCGTAAAATACTCCAATGTCGTTTTTCAATCAACTATTGGTTGTACGAATTATTTAATCAGCAGTAGATACTTCAAATCTGGTAGTTAATTAGTGTGTATGATGATTATATCTAATAGATATCAATATATATATATATATATATATATATAGTATATAACTGTTTTCACATATATTGGAACAGATAAGTTGGATTACCAAGCTGTGGAAAGCTACGTGGAATTTCGCTACACATATTTGCTTGAAGAGTATATTTATATATGTAATTAGTTACATTAATATGAAAAAAAAAAGGAGACTTGATTTTGTTTTGTCACGCAATATTATAATTGATGTTTTTAAAGAGGAACGTATATGCTGCTGTGCTGTTTAACAGACTCATTTGATTTCGTCATGTGCAGTAGAATGGTTGATTTTAGTTTAGTTGAGGTTTTGAGTGAAATATGAGTATACCTAAAACTAAAAAATTTGGGATGTAATTGATTTTTATTTTTTCTAATATCTACGGAAAGATGTCATTAGAAAATTTCAAGCGCAAAAGCTAGTCAACCCATGGCGATCAAATTTGGTAGTTGCAGATACCATGGCGCGAAAAAGAAATATTCGTGCCAAGAACATTTTACTATAAAAGAAGTCATAGAGTTGGTCATATGCTCTTTTGCTACCAAAAATGGGTCATTGAAAACTGCTTTCATCTACGACTGACTCATTTGGTTGCAAAATCATTGGCGTAAACAAAATATTGAGTTTGCTCTTTGTATTATCTGTACCAAAAATATTACATTTATTTGTCAATAACATTTTTTCAGACAAATTATATTTGACCGTAGGTAAGTCTATTTAAAAATTATTTCACGTCCTCTTTCATGGAATGAAAAATTTGCGAACAAATCCACGACCAAATAGGTGTATTAGCGGCGAACAACATCTGAAACTTCCTATTTGGTCACTGTTGAGGTCAGATTTCGTACCTCATCCCTCACCGTATATGTGACAACTTGGGATTTAGAAAGTCACTAAATGAGTTCCCGTAACTCCCCGAGCAAGCTAAAGCGACTGGTCAGTTCCATTAGTCAATTCCACGAGTTGACGGACAACCTTAGGCATCAAGTCACAAGAAATATCCTCAAGACATTCCAAATACGGAATTTGGCAACAAAATCAACCAAAAAAAGAAAGAGATAAATGGCTCCAGCTAGAGGAATTAATGAGGAAAAAGGTTAACGGTTGACCTAGGCCGCAAGCAACCCTCTCATTGGACGGAATTGATTGTCTTTCACAAAAGAAAATTATATCTACAACAATCAGGCAACAAAGAGGCCGGATCAACTCAAAATGGGCAACAAATCATGATTGACCGGTCAATTATGGACAAAACCAGTTAAGAAAAGTCACGCAGTGCCTAGAAAAGAAGAGAATATCACGAATT